GGAAAGAACGGGCCATCAAAGGAGGAGGTACCTTTCTCTGAAGGGAGGAGAGAACTTCCACTTTGACTATGACCTTGTCTAACTAAGATCAGAGTCGGCGAACTCAAAAGGCTTCCATAGCCTTGGCAATTCATGACAAGAGCCCAGGGTGATTACTGATGCCATAAACAAGAGTGTCAATTGTTAAGTCAACAATAGGAGTCACTGTGCACTTACTCCTCATGTAGGATCTCTGTCTTTAATGTGTTGTACAATGTGAACTAATGCTATAACTCAAACGTACTTTATACTTTGTGTTTCTGTGTGGGTGCAAACTGTTGAAATCTTTACTTAATATATACTAAATCGATCTTCTGTATATAAAGATAATTGAAAATGAATCTTGATGTGAATGGAATGGGAGAGGGAGCGGGAGATGGCAGGGTTGCAGATAGGAGGGAAGTTATTGGGGGGGGAAGCCATTGCAATCCATAAGCTGTACTTTGGAAATTTATATTCATTAAATAAAAGTTTAAAAAAAGTCAAGAAGAATGTTAAAAAGGAACACAAAAATGTGAGACCTTAAAAAACCACAGGGGAAATGGTAAAGAAAAATTAGAGAAAGCACCTGAATAAAACCTCAATACAATAATGAAGATGAACAAAATATACTACAGGAGAATAACTGGGCTATAGAAGAAGATCAATATGCCAAAGAACTAATTCAATGGAAGTACTGGTTGCAAACAACTGATGAGCTAGAATTAGCTACGTTGGCAGGAAAGTTTCTGGCCCACATTCATATGTTGAAATCCTAACCCTCAAGGTGATGTATCAGGAGATGAGTCTTAAAGGAGATACTGAGATCCTGAGGGTGGGGCCCCCATCAGTGGAGTTGTACCTTTGTAGGAGGGAATTTAGGGAGATGTTTAGAGGAGAAATTAGCTGTCTACAACCTAGAAGAGGGCTTGTATAAGAGCCTGACCATGACTACCACCTCCAGAGCTGTGAGAAAGAGTTTTTGTTCTTTATTAACTACTCAGGCTATGTACTTTGTTACAGCATAATAAACAGACTAAGAAAAGATAAAGTATAGATGCTGAGGGCTGTAATGTAAGTTAAGAGGATAGGGTCCGATATCAGCTAAATTGTTCCCAAATGAACTTAATTGGGGGTGGGGGGGTCACAGAAAGGTTGGAAGAATGATTGAGTTTACATGGAGCTGCTGCAATTCCTTGATTCTACAGCTGCCAGTACGACACCCAGCCCTGCCATGTTGATAGGGCATGACAGCCTGTGTCCACCCTGAGTGGGCACCTATTCTGTCTAGCTGGTGTCCACCTGGTTCTTGCTGTTAAATTCTTTGACTATCATTCCTTCCTATGCCCAAACTGACTGACTGGCTGTGAGGGGTTGAACAGTTCCTTATGGGGGTGGGTTTACAGGTTTCCCCTTGCCTAATTTACTAAAGAGAATCCTGACTGCCAAGACATTTTCCCTGTGCCTAAAAGAGGAAGGATATTTTGGGATTCTAGTTGCCCCTGGGAGGCCAAATCAATCTATGTAAAAAAAAAAAAAAGTGCTGTAGGAGGAGGGGAGAAAAAAAGCAAAAGTTTTTAACACCAAGAGTAGAGAAGTTATTTGTGTCATAGTTTTCTACGGGTCTGTTGGAGTAGCTTTGTGGAGTGAAATAGGAGAGGAAAAGGAAGTTTAACAAATGTCACTGTGGACTAAATATTTGGGCTCCCTTTAATACCTACCAAGAAATATGGAAAAAATAAATTGTTCTAAATTATCTTTGGCTATTAAATTGAGCTCCTTAAATGTGTGCATTCACTAGCTTGATGTTATTTATAGGCTGCACAAGAATTCCAATGCAAAACCTTAGATTGCTCTTGGTGCATTTTCTCAGACTGACCTCCCCTGTGAAATCCCTTCATGTTCTAAATCCTACCTCTTTATTTCAGGTGCTATCTCATCCCAGATGCCTTCCTCCATTCTTTTCCACCAGCAGAGTCCCAAGCAACCCATCTGCCTCTAATCATCTGCTCCTTTAAAATTCTGTACACACTGATCTCTTCATTCCTCATGGAAACCATTGCCAAAGCCTGTGGCATAAAATGGGTGGCTGCTCAGCTTTAAAATTTTTTTATTAATATATAAAGAGAACAGATTTCACGTATTTCTTAGTTACAGTTCTAAGACGACAACCTTATACTTCCCTCTCTCCCTCCTTCAATCCCCCCTCCTTCCTTCTTTTCTCTAATTTTTTACAAAGATATACTTTCAATCCACTCTATAATCATAGGCTTAATCCACCACTAACCATAATATTCAACAAGTAAAAAGTAGGAAGACCCTCAGTTTGCAGGACTAAGGGTATAGCTTCAGGGAGGCTAAGTTCCACTTCTTTGGTAACTTCTTCCAGGTTTGAGAAGTTGGCTACTGTTGTCTTCTCACCCCATTTCGTTAGCTTTGTAACTTTCTGATTTTGTAGAAGATCCCTTTTTAAAAACAGGATTCTGGGGGAGAGGCTAACGTGGTCATTTAATCTACTGTGGCCAGAAAATAATTACAGAAAGTTTAAAAAGAGCCATTTGTTTTTGTAGAGAAGAGAGCTCATTCATGCTTACCTTAAGATAAGGGAACAGACTAAATATTTAAATAGATGTTAAATGATTTGGAAGATCCTGGGGTGATAACTCCATGATTAAGTAAGATTTCGGTTTTTTAATCCATAAAATGGAGGAGGCTTAGAGATTGGATTAGATCACCTGAGATCTATTGCTATTCCTTAACTTTTTTTTTTTTTTTTTTGACAGTGAGAGAGAGAGACAGAGAGAAAGGTCTTCCTTTGCCATTGGTTCACCCTCCAATGGCCACCGCGGCCAGTGCACTGCGGCCGGCGCACCGCGCTGATCCGATGGCAGGAGCCAGGTGCTTCTCCTGGTCTCCCATGGGGTGCAGGGCCCAAGCACTTGGGCCATCCTCCACTGCACTCCCTGGCCACAGCAGAGAGCTGGCTTGGAAGAGGGGCAACCGGGACAGAATCCGGCATCCCGAGCGGGACTAGAACCTGGTGTGCCGGCGCCGCTAGGCAGAGGATTAGCCTATTGAGCTGTGGTGCCAGCCCTTTGAGTCTGTTTATTGTGGAGATCCAGGCATTGGTGGAGAGGGCTATTCCCTCCTTTCTCAAGGGGATGTCATGGAGGGCCTCAATAGGTTGGGTCAGTAGTACATCTGACTGTGTGTGTGGAGGGGGGGAATCTACTCTGCTTCTGTTCTTCTCCGCAGTCACAACTGAGGAGCTATCTCTTCACGCTGAGCATTTGCACAATGCTGAATACAAGGGGTCCTAGAGGGAGAAATGTGCCCTCACTGGCTAGGACACAAACAGAAAAAGGAATGCTACTTCCTGCTGAGGATGGAATGCCAGCAGGCAGGATGGAAGTTTGCAGGTGAGCAACTGTTCAATGACTTCCAAACACGCTTGGTCCAAATCGCCTCTCCACATGGGTGCCATTTTTGTATCACCACAGGGGACACTGACATTTCCTTGCCTGAATCCAGGGCCATAGATGTCTTGGGGAGAGCCTTTTAGATTTCAGCAGAGGGCTAGAACTCATGGAAATGCAACAGCCAAAGGCTGCCAGTTGTTAGAATGATGCATCCGCACTAAACTTCCCCTTGAACTTAGCAGGGAGTTTTTGACCACCAAGGGGAGGCAGGGAAAGGATCTGTTAACAAATAAGGGGCTGGATCCCGTGCAAGATCGCTTTATGGATCCAAGAAATCTAAATCCAAATTGCTTGATCACAGAAACCCTAGTGCATGTTCTGCCTTCTGATGAGGCCACAATAAACCCAACTCTGGCAAATGATATCTGCCCTCTTTTTAAGATCTTTATGCTAGAATTTCTATCACTTTTTTCACCCAACCATTCTTGTATGGGCTGTCTTCTTTATTTTCCCCTTACTGTATCTTACCATGAGCTTCTGGATTTTAAAGCCACTCTTTCCTTCTATGAGATAAGATTCCCAATCTCTGGCTGTATAGCACCTTGGGGTCTATTTGCCACATTTTCCCAGTCTCTTGCCCTATAAATCTCTACATTTTCCCTAGGTGCCCTTTCATGAAGATCCTGGTGTGGGGAGACAGGTGTCACTGGGCTAAGAACTAAGATCCTGAATGCTGGTCCTCTGTATATCACAGACTCACTGGAGTCCAGGCAATCTCCTTAAATATTTCTTAATCTTAAATATTTTCTTCCTATAGCATCCCATGATTTCAGATGCTCAGTGATCTGGCAAGCACAGGAAAGAGGCGTCTGGTACAATAAACACTGCAGGGACTGGGGGACCAATGTTGCATGTCATACATACACCTTGCCTCAGTTGTCTCCCAGTTGTCTTGGAGGAATGTCAGGGGCTGAGTCTTACTATTCTAAGATTTCCCAAGATCTCAGATGGCACTGATGAAATATGTCCTATGCAGTAGCTAGCAAAGACTGCCAAAGCCATTATTCTCTTGGGAATTATTCTTCCAGTATGGCTTGTAGCATTGAGACTCTCACCAAGGAACAATCACTCTTGATCTCAGTCTCCACCCGTAACATACTCTCATTCTTTGAGATGATTGCAGTGGATCAAGCTCCTCTTTGAAACATACTTTTTATGAACATATTTATTATGACTTACCCTTTCATGGGCTTATATCCTATCCTTCAAGATAATGAAAACAAGGTGCAAAGACATTCTTTGTATCCATTACGAAATGAGGATGACTCTTGTGTATCTGAATGGTGCCATAGGGCACTTGCTGGAGTTTGGGATAAATTACCAATAAAATGAGTCACAGGAAGTATTTGGAGGTCATCCAGTACTCCTGTCCCCGTGATTGCTGTCCTTACCTGTTCTGCATACACTGTGCTACAGCCACTGCTTCAGCCTTCCTGCACCTGTGCCTATCCAACGGTCTCAGCATCCAACTGAATAGGTTTTGAAAGGGTGCCGGGAACTTACCTTCACACTTGAGCAGGAAGAACTCAGAGCTGTGGCTGAAGGAAGCACTGAAGTAGGTGCAGTTCTCGACCAGGTCGCAGGAGAGGCACTGCCTGTTGAAGTTGCCCACTGTGTTGGCGCTGAAAGAGCAAATGCATGGCGCATGAGCTGAGACAGAGGTGGAGTGGTTGTAGCCCTCTACTAATCCTCTCTCAGCTAGCATGGCAACAGGCTGACTTTTCTCCCACAGAGGTGTTCTGTGGATCCTGGTTGCTGACCTCCAGGGCCTGGTTCCCATCAGTCTCTCTGGTGGAAGAGCCAGGAATACCAGGCTCCATGTCTGCCATCCCCACGAAGCCCTCCCTAACTGGTTCACTCTTCCCACTCAAGAATTCTTGGAATTTTCGTTGTTGGGATGATGTCTCCTTGGTCACCTGTGCTGCACGATGCAGGCTGTGTGTGTGATCCTGGCACGAGGAGAGTTCAGCCACTGGGTTTTATTATTATCTAGCCCTTCATACCCGTGTCTTAACTCCCTTAGCAATTTGGGAGTAGGATGTATGTTCTACACACCTTCCAGTGCTCCCAGAGTGGTGAACACTGGACATGCCAGAGAATCCATAAACTCTGGCTGAATTGAGCATTTGCTGTTTCCAAAAGCTGATGTTCCTCACAGAGCGAAATGGTAGAGGCGTTGTTTCTCAATGAAACTAGACAAGTTTGAAGATGCCCTCCAGGAACCACTTTAATCAAGTGTAATTTCAGGGCAAGAAACCCTAAAATGTATTTCCAACAATTAAGAGATTCCGGCCGGCACCGCGGCTCACTAGGCTAATCCTCCACCTGCGGCGCCGGCACACTGGGTTCTAGTCCCGGTCGGGGCGCTGGACTCTGTCCCGGTTGCCGCTCTTCCAGGCCAGCTCTCTGCTGTGGCCAGGGAGTGCAGTGGAGGATGGCTCAAGTCCTTGGGCCCTGCACCCCAAGGGAGACCAGAAGCACCTGGCTCCTGCCATCAGATCAGTGCAGCGCGCTGGCTGCAGCACGCCAGCCTTGGCGGCCATTGGAGGATGAACCAACGGCAAAGGAAGACCTTTCTGTCTCTCTCTCTCTCACTGTCCACTCTGCCTGTCAAAAAAATAAAAAGAGATTCTGAGGTATCCAATATGAGGGTACTTCAGAAAGTTAAATGTATTTCAAAAAATTTAGCCAGAATTATTATATAAAATTATATTATAAAACATTATATAAATAATCATCTTTTATTTTTATTTATTTCAGAAGGAGGTAGGGAAGGAAGGAGAGAAGGAGGTCGGGGGAGGGGGGAAAAGGGAGAAGGAAAGGGAGAGAAAAGCAGAGAAAAAGCACCTTTATCCACTGGTTCATTCCCCTGGTGCTAGCAATGGCCTGGGCTGGGCTGGGCTGGGGCTGAAGCTTGGAGTAGGGAATGCAATTCAAGTTTCCAATTACCTCTACCTCCTAGGGTCTACACTGGTAAAAAGCTAGAATCAGGAGCTGGAGCTAGGATTCAAATCAGTGTACTCCAATGTGGCATGTGGGCATCTTAACTGCTCGGCTAAATGTCTACCTTAAACTTATCTTTTATTTCTATTTCTTTTCTGTGAACTTTTTGAAGTCTCTTCATATACTTCATCTGAACATTTTGCCTGGGAATGGTCCTTTTAGCTACAGGTTTCAATATGTAGACTGTAAGAGTGAAGATACTTCACAGGAAGGAAGACAACCAGCTAACACCCTACGTTACAGGAAAAGGTTGGCAGGCTGCCTTATCACTTTTCATTAATTTGATGACATGGCTGCTTTCAGAAATCCTAGTAGACAGGCAGTAATGAAAGGCTGCAGAGAGAAACAAGTCTGACCAAATGGACATGCCAAAGAATTTTCTCCCCTCATCTAGGCCCCCTTATGCTGGCCTCACACTCTCTCAGCACAGAAGTCAATGGATGGCAACAGATGGCGGGGGCTTCAGGGGGCTCCTTCTAACATCACAGCAATGGGAGTGAACAGCACTGGCTCGCCCAGACTGTGAGTCACTGGCCTTGAGCCCTTTGGTCTACACTGCAGGATGTCCTCTCCAGTGGCCAATGTGCTTCGTCACCCCCTTTCTGGTCTGGAGAGAACCATGAAAGTGCAGGTCTTCCTGCTGGTAGGAAGCTCCCAGGGCTGACCGCCATCCAGAGCCAGGGACTTTCTCCAGTGAGAATTGTAGCTGTGGCAGGTGATGGGATTAAACGCAGCTGAGGGACAGAACGTACACAAATGGAGTCCCTCTCGGAGATTCAGAGCTCCTCCCCTCTCCTTTAAGGTGACAAAGCATGTGTCAAGGGACATTGCAAAGGTCGCAGCAAGGCTGTGACGGCAGAGTTGGTCTCTCTCCCCCGTCCATGGGTCTACTTCCAAGTCTGACTCTGCACTCCCAGAAACACCCAGTGAGAGTAATTCCCCTAAGTCAGCATCTAAGCATAGATAAAGGGCAAGACTTTATGTGGAAGTGAAGCACTTATCCAGGGAATAAACAAGCGAGAAAGGGAAGCTCAATTCAACAAAGGCAGAAAAACAACATAAACCTCCAGACTTGTTGAGTGCAGCCTTCCTCATTCTTTCTCCCCAGACTTCCTACTTATCTGTGATGGGGACTCTTCTTTGCTGCCTGCCCTTTCTACTGCTGGAAAAATGCAATTCTGCAAGGCCCAGGGTGCAGGAACCAGAGCTACCTGTAGAGCTGTCTTCTCCGCGGCAGGTCCTCCGTGCTCAGGAAGTAGCTGCAAGATGGTCAAAGAGGACAGGATTAGTCTGCTGCAAGGTGCATTTGCACTTCACATAGCATGCACTACCTTTATAGATATCGCTCAGGGACAGCCACTGTTCTGTGGCCTACAATGGGCAATTTCTCTCAGGTCCAGCTACACCTACAGCCAGAGCAGGGGACGGTTAGATGGCTAAGAGGTAAGGGACACACTGATGCAGATTCTAGAACCTCAAGGTATCTTTGGCTCCTGCCTGGCCTCAGGGCTATAGGACACTGCTGCTGTAGGACATGGGGTTGGTGACGTTGGACATCTGGATTGGAAGCAGGATTTCTTGCCCAGATGGTAACCTTCTGGAGAGCTAGGGACCAAGAACAACTGACACGAGTCCAGACATAAAGCTCAGCCCGATACATGCTGATTGATTTTCACCTAAGACCCTGCATGTTCTTGTCACAGCAGCAGGGAGGTAGAATGACATCATGGTGAAGTACTCAGCCCTGGACTCTCACCAGCTGAGTTGCACCCTAGCTGCACTGGTTGTCAACCAAATAACCTGAAGTATTATGACACTTTTTGTCCTAAGCTTATTCTTAAAATGGGGAAAGCAGTAAGCCTACCTCATGGTGCTGCTGTATTAACCAAGATAAAGCTTTTAAACCAGGTAGCATCATGCCAGGAACAAGTAATGATTAAAGAAATGTCAATCATAGCACCCCTGTTCCTGTTAATGTGTTTCACCTACAGGCTGCTTGCAAATCACGCTTGGGCAACCAGTCCCTTGTGGCGTGGGAAGCCGGCTTGTTGACACAGGACACATTTTTATAAAGAAACGGGGAGTTAGCAAAGTTGTCCAGGAAGGAAGGGTGAGTCCTCGTGTGCCATGTTCTGTACTCACTGAGCAGGATTTGACTGAAAATAGCACCCAGGTCCCACTGGCCAGTGAGGTGGGGCCCTGGCTGCCACGCGCACTCACATCTTATTCCGCTTCTCGTCATAGGACAGGATCTTGGTCACGTCCCAGTCCCCGGAAGTGATGGACTGGATGTTGTCATTACTGCTGTTGGGCTGAAACACACAGGAGAAGAGATGTCAGGACCAGCGAGGCTGGACCCCAACTTTGGCTCTTCCTCCCTGAGTCGTTTTAGGAGCAATGCATTGTCTGCCTGCCCTACAGCCTCATCCTCCCCCAGGAGGCATGGCCAAAATCCAACAGCTTTTAGGAAGCTCTGCTGATCCTCCCACCCCACAGCTCTCTTTGAAAGCCAGTGATGGGGAATATCACATGGTCCACATCTTTGTTATCACCTCATGCCTCCAACACCAGTAACTCTAACTGCAATGTAAGCTTCTTGTAAGAAGAGTCAGTGCTTTTCATGCTGCTGATGCTAACTGGAGGAGCCGATCCTCTAAGGGAAAGGAGAAAGAGAGCTCTAGGGGGAAGTGGGTGAATCAGGGCAAGGGAAGGAAGACTCAAGGCGGAAAGGACAGTCTTGCTCCTCTGTCATCCTCTGCTGTCATTGACAAGGATGGGCTAGAACTGGCCCATTGAGTACTGTCCATTCCATACACACTGTCGCCTGATATACCTCCCAGAGCCATGCAGAAAGATCACAACAGTAGCTTGTACCAGAGAGAGAGAGAGAGAAAGAAGAAGAAGAAGGAGGAGGAGGAGGAGGAGGAGGAGGAGGAGGAGGAAGAGAGGGAGAGAGAGGGAGGGAGGGAGGGAGGGAGGGGGAAGAGGGAGGGAGGGGGAGGGAGAGAGGGAGGGAGGGGGAGGGAGAGAGGGAGGGAGGGGGAGGGAGAGAGGGAGGGAGAGGGGGAGGGAGAGAGAGGGAAGAGGGAGGGAAGGAGGGAGAGGGGGAGGGATGGGGTGAGGGGAGGAGGGAGGGAAGGAGGGAGAGAGGGAGGGAGAGAGGGAGGGGGGAGGGAGGGAGAGGGGAAGAGGAAGAGAGGGAGGGAGGAAAGGAGGGAGGGAGAGGGGGAGGGGACTGACTGCAGGTGCTGAGGTGCATCAGAGCACTGCTGTTCTGCACCACAGGTGCCTGAAGGAAAGGCACTTCAGGGGATGGAGATGAACTTAGTTCAAGGGCCAAGGCCAACACCCTGTGCTTACAGGCATCACAGAGGAGAAACCCACGAGGGTCCCAGTGTGTGTGTGGTGGGGGGAGTAGGGGTGCCTAAAGGGCTCAGGAAGGCAGCAGGCCAACACCCTGGGCTTACAGGCATCACAGAGGAGAAACCCACGAGGGTCCCAGTGTGTGTGGTGGGGGGAGTAGGGGTGCCTAGAGGGCTCAGGAAGGCAGCAGCCCAACACCCTGGGCTTACAGGCATCACAGAGGAGAAACCCACGAGGGTCCCAGTGTGTGTGGTGGGGGAGTAGGGGTGCCTAGAGGGCTCAGGAAGGCAGCAGGGCTCAAAAGGCGTCCTGGGTTCCGAAGCAAAGGGTCAGAGTGGGAGTGAGGGCCCCGGGCAGCACACAGGGATTGCTTCCTGCTGGAGACTGATGGGGTTTTCAGCAAACGCTGAGCCCTTGGACACCCTCAGGGATGGGAGTGGATGAAAACACCCAAAAAGTATTTTTTTTCTTGGCTAAAGTGGTCCAAGATGAGAAAGCAAAGCAATCTGGGGCTATGGAGTGAAAAGCACAGGAATTAAGGGATGGAAAGGGTTTGCGGATGTGTTGCAAGTCCTGTGATTAAGAGAAGGGAAGCGGACTGTATGTGTGCCTCGGCCTCCGTGTAGACATTATCTCCATCACTGGAGGCAGGATGCTCTCTGACCTTTTCCCACCAAACTGCTTCTACACGGGAGGCTCTCAGAATCTTTCTTCGAAATTGTCTGTTGGGCCACATCATAAACATGAACTTCCTGCTTTGTTTCCACAGAACGTTTCTGATTGGCCTTCTTTTTTAACTTTTATTAAATGACCTTGAATATTTATTCTCCTTTTTAACTTTCATTCAGTGACCTTGAGCCCAGATAACTGTGGAATGCTCCAAAACCCAAATCCACAGCCCGAGGATGGGGCTGGTGGTCGCGAGGAGCTTCAAGGGCATTCTCTGCCCCTCATCACCTCTCTCGGGCCGAGTTCCACAGAAGCTTGGTGCTGTGGCAGTGGCCTCCTGCAGGTGTGAGCCCCTTCCTGGGTAGAGGGGGGGGGTCTTTTTTTTTTTTTTTTTTGACAGGCAGAGTGGACAGTGAGAGAGAGACAGAGAGAAAGGTCTTCCCTTGCCGTTGGTTCACCCTCCAATGGCCGCCGCGGTCGGTGCGCTGCGGCCGGCGCACCGCGCTGATCCGATGGCAGGAGCCAGGTACTTATCCTGGTCTCCCATGGGGTGCAGGGCCCAAGCACTTGGGCCATCCTCCACTGCACTCCCTGGCCACAGCAGAGAGCTGGCCTGGAAGAGGGGCAACCGGGACAGAATCCGGCGCCCCAACCGGGACTAGAACCCGGTGTGCCGGCGCCGCAAGGTGGAGGATTAGCCTAGTGAGCCGCAGCGCCGGCCGAGGGGGGGTCTTGTACAGGGGCTGTATTCACCAGGAGGCCCACTTTGGGCTCTAAGTCCATGTGATTAATCTCCGTAGCTCCTGCTCAGTAGCACGGGCTTATAATCTACCAAATGCCAGAGTCAGTTGAGTGGTGCTTGGGAACAACCACAGCACACAATGGTACCTGCCTCTGGCTCCAAGTGGAGCTGGGATGGTTTGAAGTCCAGACTGAGGAAAGACCCTGAGAGCTCTGGGTCCACTCAGCCTCAAGGGACAGGAGGGTGTAAGGGAGAGGGGTACATGGAGGGCCCTAGACCACACCCCAGAGTCTCCTCTGCTAAAGCCAGAGGTGTCATTCATGTTCCTGAGCACTCACAAAGAGCAAAGCGCGACCCACACCCTGATCAGCATCTCTAGGTGTGCTCCACCTGCTTGGTAGCTTGTGCAACACGTCTTTGCGACTCAGTATCCCCAGGTTACTTTAAAGTCCTTGAAAACAGCAAGTGGGCTCAGCCACAGAAGCCAACTCCCACACAGCAAGAGTTCTGGAAACCTGCAGGGTATATACCTGGGAAGAAGACACGGTGATGTGGTAGAATTTTCCTCGGCCTCCCTGGGGAATGGCTCTCACAAAGAAAAACTTCCGGCCATCCTTGGAGAACACCGGCTCTTCGTTCTGTGGACAAAAGCAATGGATTCAATACATACAGGTGCTCTGTTTGATTTTGCAGAGGTCGAAGCAGTATAAAATACATCCTGATACATTTTCTATGCGATTTCCAATGAGAGATGGAGTTGAAAAAAAAGAAGTGCTATACAGAGTCTTGTCTTTCCTTGGGAATCATGAGCCAGCCTTTTGGTTTTCTGAAAGAACAGGCTTCACAGACACAGTCTAAGCAGAGGCACCGTTCACAAAGCACCAAGAAAAAGACCTGAGGTATACAGGCCAGGCTCAGCAGAGAGAACAGGAACTGAGCCCTCAAAAAGGTGCTATGTGCTTGCCCCTCAAACTGCTGCCCACAGAAACCAGGGCACGTTCTGAAATTTCTCCAGTGGCCTGCATTATACGTCCCAAGAAATGCGATTCTGAAAATCACAAACCTGAGTTTGCATGAAAATGAATTCCATTCTTTCAATCCTCTTTTTTTAATAAAGTCTGTCCATTTCACACTGAATGGCCCCTCAAGGAAACAAGAAAGAAAGAAAAACAAACCCAAGGAGAAGTTCTACATATTCTGAAACGTGGGATGGTAGAACTCAGGAAGTTTCAACCCAAAGTGGACACTAGGTGGCGCATGCTTGCTTGAATCAACTATCATTGACTGCTCCCTGGAAACCAATCAGTACTCCCAGTTTTCCCTGGGGGAAGGAGATCCAGGCTGGGAGATGAGGCCTGACAAGTATTGCACCGCCTCCCCCACCCCCCCCAATGTTGAGAAGAGAAGCCAGTCTCAGCCTCAGCCAACCCCCAGTAGAGTGGCTGTCGCTTTGATGGGCAAAAGAGATTTTGCCTCTCAGTCTCTCTGAAGCTCAAGTTTGAAAGTTTCCATCCGTGAACACCAATTAGTCTGCTACGGTATATATATTTTCTGATTCAAGGAACAGCGCACTAATGCTGAGTTTGAGAACAAATGGTAAATAAACCCCAGCTGGCACAAGGAAAACTCATTTCTCTGCACTGAATGAACACATGCAAATATGATATGCCCAGAGAAATCAACTCACATGTGATTAAAATGACATTTAATCTTCATGAATATTTGCAATAAAATGAGACCTTTAATCTGCAAATATTTATTTTTCTATTTAGAGTTGGAAGTGTGGTATTTAAAAGTCGAGGGAATGGAGAGACCAGTGGTTAATTTGGCTTTTTAAATGTTCTTCTCTTTGCCAACTGCAGGATACACAGTGCAATATTCCCTGCTTTCTGGGGGAAAACGTTTGTACATTTGGCAGAGAAAAATACTCTGAATAAATATAATAAATAATCAGTACTGGCCAGAATCACAGTGTTTACAATGAGATGATCTCAGCCGTTTGGGTGGTATCAGTCCATGGAAACACCCCAGGGTACGCTGCTGACAGCACCAGCCTTTGACACCGACGCTTGGGTGCTCATGTGGTAAATGCAGTTTTTAGTGACAGAGGATTATGATGTTTGACCTGGGGACCTGGGCTTTTATTTTCATCCTGATTCTGTCTCCTATTCGATTTTGGGGAAAACAATTTGTAGCCTCTGTGGATAACAGAGCCTTTATCATACACGATGCCTAAGTTCTATGACACCACTCGTGCCAGTCTATGTAGAACAAGTTCTCCTTATAGATGAGAGATTCTTTGTGAGTGATTTGTAGCATTTCTACCAATTCTTTGCATGTTCCTTCAAACTCCTCTTGTCTCACCTCCCTGCCAAGAGTCTGAAATCACAAATCTACAATCCTGGGAAGGAATGAGGCAGTCAGAAATCTACTCAGAGGGCTGAGCCTTCAACCCAAGGATCATGGGCTCTGGTGGAGGTCCCAGTGGATTTAAGTCAGGATCTACTTTCACAGCACGGCAGCCATGATGGGGTGGGAAGGTGGGCAGAGGCGACCGCCTCTTTCTCTGGAATGTTCCTGGAGGAGAGGGGCCTTGTTGGGTGTCCACACACAATATTCGCCTCTGCTTTCTGGTTGACAGGGGGTCTTAGAAGGGATCCATGCAGAGGACTCTGGGAAGGAGACAAGAAGTGGAGAGAGGGAGGCAGTGGAGGCTACGATGACACAAAGCTGACAGGATTGCTCTGTGTCACCTTGTTCCCCTGGCGATGGGTCACTGAAGACAGATTGGCCTCAGTAAACTGTGTCTCCATGAGGTTTGCAGGATTTTCCAGACTGTAGTCTCTTCTGGGCCATTAGAGACAAGCTCCAGGGACCCACAGGAGGTGGGTGGGTAGGAGAGACTGGCCTCAGCTCTTGTTTCCCTTGGTTGTCGGCTTAGGGCTGTGATGAGACATGCCCCCACACCCTGCCTGATGTGACAGCCTGCAGGTTCTCTGGTGGCAGGTGGCAGGCCCAGCCTTGACTAAGCTCTAAGTCACGCACCAGGAGCCCATGGCATCTTGAAGAATGAAAAAACTCCCCCAAAAGTTTTAGAAAAGTCGGATCCATGAATTCCTTCATGAAAACAAGAAGGAAATGAGAAACTGTTTGAAATTAGACATTTGCTGCATGGCACGGAGCTTCACACGCAGGCCACCTGCAGGGTGTTCGGATACATCACAGCCTCCTTGCTGCTGCCCGGGGAGGCTGCCCCTGACCAGTGGTGCACGTAGAAATGTAGGCTGCTGGACTGACCTGACTCAGGAATGCAGCATCTCTGATTATCAAAGACAGCACTGCAACCCTTTAAGTAGCTACTTACAAAATGTTAACCTTTACTTAGTAATTACTCTCACATTTCTACCTTAAACCATAAGGATTATTTCCTTTTATGCTACTTTTTAAGTGTTTTTTTTGCTTTTGCTTGGGAGGATCTGGCTTCCTGCGTGCCATTCAGGCCTTCCACCCTGGGTTTGGATGGTGTTGTCACCATCGGCTCTGCTGTTGACAAGTACAGAAAAATCCCACTGGGGTGGCTTTGATTCAGTGCCGCTCTGCAGAGCTGAGGAAGTGAGTCCTGGAGGACAGACCCATGGCCCACGTGCCCCGCATCCAGAACCACACTGGGGCTCAGCGGCAGCCAGCTGAGCTCCCCATAGTCGTGGCTCGGAGAAGGCAGGACTGAACGCACCCACCTTCAGTCTCCCAACATCCTCCCCGGCCCCGACAGAGAAACACTGCGACTTGGGTAAGCACATCCTTCACCTCTGCCTGGCCGAACACAAAGTCTGCACGTGACATGAGGACCACACCCACACTGCCGGCACCCTGTCACCCAGCTTCCAACCTCATCTAAGCACTGCCACCCCGCTTCTGAGCGCACTGCAGGATTGCCCTCACTTCTGTGCTTCGGAATTCATGTCCACATCTCCTCTCCCGGTCCAGACTGTAACATCTTTGAGAGCTGGCACTCGAGCTGATTGAGTTTTACAAAATGTATTGAGGAAAAAATTCACATGACATAACACATTTTAATAAAAGGGAATGATTCAGTGGCATTTAGTCCCTTGACAATGTTGGAAAATTGTCACTTCTGTCTACTCCTCAAATGTTCCCAACACCCCGGAATGAAACCTCATGTCCACAAAGCTCTGACTCCCCTTTTCCCCTCCCCTCGGTTCTTGGCAGCCAGTTCTCCGTCCTTGAACTTGTTCATTCTGGACATTTCATCTACACGGATTCGTGCAATAAGTGACCTTTACTGTCTGGCTTGGCTCCTTAGTAGCACTGTTTACAACAACTGCAATGTCCATCACAGATAAGCTGTGATAGAGAAATACAATGGAGTATTACTCAGCCATAAAAAAGGCATGAACATCTGACCCAGGCTACAAAAAATGCTCATTAATGGCAGTTCACTTATCTTTTAAAGCAGAAATTTTGTAATCGGTAAACACAAGTTATATATATTCCAGGTGTATAACATGTGTGAATACATATACACTGTACAATGGGTAAACTCAGACAATCAGCATGTGCACAACCTCACACACATTTTTTTTTATGGAGAGAAAATCTATCCTCTTAGCAATGTTCAAGAGTATTACACGGCTTTTAGAATAATTTTTTAAAAAAATATTTACTTCATTTATTTGAAAGCTAGAGTTAAAGAGAAAGAGGGGGAGAAGGGGGAGGGGAGGGGGGAAGGGGGAGGGGGAAGGAGAGGGAGAGGGAGAGGAATATCTTCCATCCACTAGTTCACTCCCCAAATGGCCACAAAGGTCAAAGCTGAGCCAGGCCAAAGCCAGGAGTCTGGTACTCCAGCCAGGTCCTTGTGTGAGTGGTGGGGGCCAAGGACTTGAGCTACCCGCACTGCTTTCCCAGACACATCAGCAGGGAACTGGCTTGGAAATGGAGCAGCTGAGGTTCTGGCACTCATGGGATGCCGGCATTGCAGCTGGTTAAGCTGCCACGATGCTAGCCCCAAACACAGTCGTTAACTGTAATCACCATATTGAACAGTAGCTCTCTTAAACTTAACTCCTGTTGTCAAACTGAAATTTTGCATCCTTTGACCAACACTTTCCCCGACTCCTACTAGTGGTAATCACTACTCAACCCTGCTTCTATCAGTTTAACCATCTTACATTTTTACCTGTCAGTGAGATTCTGTGTCTTTCTGTGCCCACCTTATTTAACTTAACATAATGTCCTCCAGGTTCTTCCACATTGTCACAAAGGAATTCTTTAAGGCTGAATAATAGTAATTGTGTATTTAAAGCACATTTTCTTTAACCTTTCACGTGTAGTGGACACCAAGGATGTTTCCATGTTTTGCCTTTTGTGAATAATGTTGCATTGAATATATGAATACAGGTATTTCTTCAACATACTGACTGTGTATGCCTTGGTTATACAATCAGAAGTGGTATTGTTGGAACACATACATCTATTTTTGCTTTGTCCTGGGCCCTCCATACTGGTTTCCACAATGGCTGCACTAGTTTATAATCCCAATAATATGCAAAGGTTTCTTTTCCTTCACACCCTCTCCAACACACATCTTCCATCTGATTTACAGTAGTCACTCTAACAGGTGTGAGGTGATACCTCATTGTGGTCCTAATTTGCATTTCTCTAATGCTTGATGTTCATTTTTTTCATATACCGGTTGTTCATTTGTGTGCCTTATTTCAAGTAATGTCTGTTCAGATTCTTTGCCTGTTTTAATCCTATTACTTGATTTCTTAATGCTGAGCTGTTTGAGTTCCTCATATGTTTTGGATTTATCCCCCTATCAGATATATGGTTTGCAAACTTTTTTTCCCATACAGTGGGTTGTCTCTTCACTTTGTTGATTGTTGCTTTGGCTGTCCAGAGCTTTTTACTTTGATGCAATCCCATTTGTCTTTTTTTACTTTTGCATGACTTTCTATTAAAAAAGAAAACACATTACTCATACGAATGTCAGAGAGATTTTCATCTATGTTTTCTTTTAGTAGTTTTTAAGTCTTATATTTAAGCCTTTAACCTATTTGAGTTTATTTTTGTAGGCAGTATGAGATGAGGATTTCTTTCTTTTGCACTGTGGCGCAGCAGGTTAAAGCCCTGGCCTGAAGTGCACACATCCCATATGGGTGCCGGTTCGAGACCTGGCTGTTCCAGTTCCGATCCAGCTCTCAGCTCTCTGCTAATGGCCTGGGAAAGCAGTAGAAGATGGCCCAAGTCCTTGGGCCCCTGCACCCACGTGGAGACCTGGAGGAAGCTCCTGGCTCCTGGCTTCAGATCGGCGCAGCTCCAGCCATTGTGGCCAATTGGGGAAGTGAACCAGCGGATGGGAGGCCTCTCTCTCTCTCTCTCTGCCTCTCCTCTCTCTCTGTGTAACTCTTTAAAATACATAAATAAATCTTTAAAATAAAGAGAGACCATGTTATCCATAGACAACTCTCCTTCTTCCTTCCTGATTTGAGTAACTTTTCTTTCTCTTGCCTAATTGCTCTGCGAGGACTGCCAGCACGCTGTTGATGAGAAGTCGTGAGTGTGGGCACCCTGTTCTTTCTCCTGATCTTGCAGGAAAAGCTGTTGAGGCTAACAGTGAAAATTAGCTATGCCTTTGTCACGTTATAGTCTTTCTCGTGATTCTTTTTTTTTTTTTTTTTAAATTGACATGGTGACTGCCACGATTCATAGCTTTTGGTGGAACATCTGACTACACAGGAAATGGATTTTTTTTTTTTAATTTGACAGACAGTAAGAGAGAGACGGAGAGAAAGGTCTTCCCTCCGTTGGCTCACCCCCCAAATGGCTACCATGCCCGGCGCTGAGCCGATTGGAAGCCAGGAGCCAGGTGCCTCCTCCCGGTCTTCCATGTGGGTGCAGGCACCCAAGCACTTGGGCCATCCTCCAGTGCCTTCCCGGGCCACAGCAGAGAGCTGGACAGGAAGAGGAGCAATTGGGACTAGAACCCAGCACCCACATGGGATACTGGCACTGCAGGCAGAGGATTAGCTGGCCCCACAGGTAATGGATTTTTAAATGACCCTTTCAGTCCAATCTCTCTGATATTCCACCTGATGTGAGATGAACACCACAATATTCCTCAACGTTTGTGCTTATACCTTTGGTCCAGGTGGCATTCAAACACTTTCCAGTCTAATATTTCAGGGCTCCACATCCTCTCTCATTTGTAATATCATCTTGGCTTGGACTTGGTGCACAAACTTGGACATGGGGAAACAAAAGTAGCCATACTGACAGAACTATTTCCTTTTGGGTATAACTGGCATGGAGCAGAAAAAGCATACATTTAGAAGAAAAAGATTCCATGTAGGAGGCTAGCACTCCTGAGTTACTAGATAGCTGTGACAGACGACTAATTCCATGGATTAAAGATATGGCAGAGTGGCTGGAGTGCTAGAATGTTCTCAGAGAGCCACTGTGGACACTGTCTTGTCCTGCTTCAGTATTTTCCAAACATGGAATCCACCATTCCAGTAAAAAAGCACATCTCTGCCTCTCCACCATAATCCTTGAGACTCAAATCTAGTTTGATTATTCCCATAGAATTTTCTGGTATTTTTCATTCCATCAAGTAGGATAAAGTGTGTGTTTCTAAAATATTCCCATACATTTTTTAAAAATTTTATTTAAGGTGTACAAATTTCATGTATTTCATATATATATAGGTTTAGGGACCTATCCAATCTTTATAATATCAGAATGTAGAAAGAGACACAAAGTAAAAAAAGAAAGAAAAGATCAGTGCTGAGGGTTTTCCTTTTGGTCTAACTTTCCAAAAAATTTGGTCACAGAGTGATTTATTCTAGGCTTCTCCTGATCCCTCCAGGTCATGCTCCTAAAATATATTGCAAAGCAACATTTCATTTTCTGAGTTAGGGAAAAGATTCTTGGGGGACAGTGTTGAAGTTGTGTCCCTAGGGAAGGGTCTCACTGAATCTCAGGGAGTCCATGTCAAATCAATAAGAATGTCCACCAAGCTCTGGTTTTACCATAGATTATATGCAAGCAATTGTTATAAACTCATCATTTTGAATTCCCCAAAAGAATGTTATCTGAGAGCAGAGGCCCACCAAACATTCTATGTGGGGACTTTAAAACATTCAAGGAAAAGAGATCGAAAGGATAATTTGATTTTTGTGCAAAGAAATTAAAATCTATGTACAGTTTTTACATAACATGGACTTCCTATGAGGTTTTGAAGATGCCTTGCACATTCTAAAGAGCAGTATTCCTGGGGTCAGTGTTGTGGCTTAGCGGGCTCAGTCACTGCCTGCGACACCGGCATCCCATATGGGCTCTAGTTCGTGTCTCAACTGCTCCACTTCTGATCCAGCTCTCTGCTACAGCCTCGGAAAGCAGAAGATGGCTCAAGTCCTTGGGCCCCTGTACCCACATCGGAGATCCAGGTGAAACTCCTGGCTCAGCTTCAGGCACTGTGGTCATTGGGAAGTAAACCAGCAAATGGAAGATCCCTCTCTCTGTCTCTCCCTCTCTTTCTGTAACTCTGCCTTTCAAATAAATAAATCTTTTTTTAAATGTAGTATTTCCATGGAAGTCCAAGATCCTCTAGTAGTGCCTGTGGGGGGGGGCTATGGAAAGGGAGCACCAAGGCTACAACCTTGCATGTACTTCTCTCTGTGTGATTTAATTTCAGACATGGTTCTGCTACTGCAAAACCCCTGAGAACCACCCCAGAGGTGGTGCGGTGGAGGTGCTCATGGGAACACCTGCCTGGAGCAGTTACCTGTCTGTGCAGCCAAGCTTCACTTTCATCCTCGTGTTTCTGAAATGAAATAAGAGCATTAGGAAAGGGGGATGCGTCATGTCTGTGACCAACCACGCAGAAAACAATTTCACTTCACCTCCATGCTGGCTGCCCAGGTACAGAAGAGCTGCTGTGGTTTGCTCTGAGGGAGGAGTGTGATAATCCCTGGCTCTCCTCTTTGTCTCACATTATGGCTTGGAATGAGATACACATGTCCTTGAGCAAGAAGAATGCCATGGGCCCCCATCCATGAGTTCACACTCATAGCAGGGAACAACCTGAGGAAGCAGGTGGTACTTCCCCCATTTGGTGGCCGCCACTGACAGACATGTGCCCACTTAAAGACAAACGTGGGTTGCCACATTGTTGTAGGATTCACGTGCCTACATGTGGACATTCAGTCAAAATTCCAGGTGGTCGTTCTGATTAAGGATCTGCTAGAGCCAAACCCCTCTAAAAGGGGTTAAAACGTTAATCAAAATTTTTTTAGAATGCTGTGCAAAGGAGGCACAAATAAAAATAAAATCCTGAATGTCAAGACACAGCTGTTTGGCACATGAGGTGACACCCTAGGCTCCAGGCTCCTGGGGCTGGTGCTCGCTTGGCCTTGGGCAGCAGCTCTTGTACCCGTGGGTCATCATTAGGGTTTCTGTTCCTGACACTTGCATGCTAACCAACCCCAGCTGCTCGACTGTGCATCCACTCTTTCCTCCCAGAAACAAGCCCTTGTGCCTCACCTTGAAACCACTTTGACAGAGCAGGGAGAGCAGCTGCCCTAGGGCCCTTGTTCTGCAAGCCATTCTCCCTCTCAGTGGGAGAATTAAAAATTTCGGGTCAAAAAAATAGTTTCTGAAAGAGCTGCCTGAATGTGTTAATTGAAAATAACCCTAGGGGACCTGCTTCTCAGGCTGTGACTTAGCAGCATGGCCCCATCAGGGCTTTCCTCCTTGCCCCTTGTATGTGTCTTCAATTTCTCTCCCGGTGTTAGCCTTCTCCAACCACCCATTGATCCATTGCACCTTGAGGCTCCTAGACCCAGTGCCGGGCTGTCACCCCCAGGGCTATCTGGCTTTGGGTCCCGAGGAAGACAGAACAGCAGAAATGGAGCAAGGCAGGGTGAGCGCAGACTTCACCCAGGCTCTGTGGCCCGAGGCCAGCCCCTGCCTGCCTTGAACATCAATTAGGAAATGAGGAGAGTGCTCCTCTGTCAAACAGCGGCGAACCGCAATCTACAAGGTCCTGGGTTTTCAAAGCAGTACTTAATGTATCCACAAGGTGGCACCAAAAGCAGAGAGCTGGACACACACGGATGCTTAGGGCACCAGGGAGCCCTTAGCTCCAAATGACGTGGAGGCCTCCTGCCTCCGGTGCTTATCACCCCTCCCCGCTCCAACACACACGCACACTCCGTACCTTTGTGCACACCCCCGTGGTGGCATCGCAGAGGGTCAGGATGGACACATTCTGTGCCCGGTTCAGCCAGGTCACCGCGACCTTGGTGCTGGTCGCCCACTTCACCATGGTGATGTAATACTCCCTGAAAACACACAAACACGCAGGATGAGGCTTTGCAGGAATCCGCACAGGGCATGGAAACCAGCAGGCAGCTCCTTCCCGGGCCTGGATGCAGGGGCCAGTGGCTGGAGTGTGTGAGTGACAGACATCCAGAGAGGGTCTCAGGTGGGTTTCTCTGCACGGTGATGCAGAACTCGGAGGGTAGCCGAGGCTCGGAGCTGTGCTAAGATGAACCGGGAGAAGTTCAGAGTCCCACGCAAGTGCACGCGGCCCACTGCTGGCCGTGCTGGCCAGCTTGAGGGGGTGAGGGCATCTGGGGCTGCTCTGTAAGTCACACATTCTGGGAGACACTGCTGTGTTGACTTCATTTTCACATCTCAGTCCAAGGCCAACGCACCAGTCCGTGTTAGCAGGAAGTAGAGCGCCGCACCCATCGCTACTCTCTTTTCTGCTCTTCCTTGAGATAAATGCCCAGGGACACTCTCGCTAATTAGGGAAATTGGATCATGGCTCTGGGTTTCAGGTGAATTTGGTTTGATATCCCATATGTCACGTGCCTGATTTTGCCGAAACCTGAAAATATCACAGAGTTTTTTGTGTTACCCTATATGTGTAGCAGGAGGGGTCTTGGGGTTTCTGGTCATTAATTTGATCATCCAGGGCCCTCCAAAAACTGAATTAAAAAAAAAACACTCAACCATTTTATATCCAAGAGGAAGAAGGAAACGTCAAGAAAATAAGTGGCCCCAATGAATATCCTCAGGTGAACTCCCAGAATGTTCTCGAAGCCAGTGAACATGCATTCAATCACCTAGCCCATCTATATCTATAATGAGATCTACTGTTCTGAATGATTACTTTGTGGTCTTACAAGATCTCTTATCACTAAAGACTGTGGCACATTCACCAGACAATTCCTAGTGTGCTGGAAAGGGACTTCACTGCATTTAGTAATTATTCTCAACAGAAAGGACTAAATGACCAGGTGCTTCGCACTAAGCCCCAGTGAGCTAGGAGATTAGACGGCTGAATGCCTCCCTTCCCCAAATCCACCTGTTAATCAAGATTTTTAAATAACCTAAATCAAGGGCACACAGCACAGGACAAATACAGCTGGCCTTGGCCAGCTGAGGCCTGGAACTGGCCATCACACTCAGAGCTGGTAACTTACTGAGGATATGAGTGGTAAGGTACACACAAACACACCCCCAAGACGAGGGGCACAATCCAGCTTCCATGATTTTCAACCTCTTCAGCTTCTGTGACTGCTGAGAGGGCAGCTTCTGTCTGTGCCATCTGCTTCCCAGCCTGCCTACCCCGGGGAGCCTGAGTCTGTGTATTCCCGGGGTCTGCATGCCCCTCTGTCCTCTGTCCTGGCTCCTGCCCTTCCTTTCAGCCACATTCCCCAAAGGTTCTGCTTTGCTCTCTGGTTCACTGCCCGAGGCTGGGAGGAACATTTATAATGATGGCACTTGGTGATCTCCCTAGGTATCTGCAGACATGAAAAAATTTTATTTCACTGTGCTCCTTAAAAGTAATTCAAGATCGGTGCCCAGCCCTTGTATCACACACACTTCTTTTTGCTTTTAATGGTGTCATAGCTGGTCTTGGAGTCCAGCCTCGGACGTATGTTGAAGAGAATAGTAACTTGAATGGCCATGAGCTAGCACTAGCAACTGTTGGGCACACCTGTCCAGTCAAGGGTGTGGCTGTGATGCCACAGGACAATCTGCACTTAGTCTACTGGCAAACACATTCCAACCACAGGAAGTCAAGGAAGAAAAGGGAAGAATTCCCAGAATGACTAGTTTTTCTCCATGGCCTTCTTACTGACCCAAGAGAACACTATTTGTCTTCCTACTTGCTGGAAACTTCCATCCATCCTATGCCTCTACCTAGTCTTCACAGCATCCTTGTGAAATCATCTTCATAGACGTCAAATACGTGCACTGTTCTCAACATTTCCATTTCTTGACTTGGTGCCATCAGTGGACTTTCATAGCTGAGTGCAAGTCTTCCTTTTGGGAATAAGCTCCCCAGTGAGAGGTCTGGAACAAGTCTTGGGAGAACACCATTAAGCCAGGTGGACAGCGCGGGGGCGGGGCTGGGTCCTCTGGCATCAACAGTAATTGCATGGTCGATATAACTGCTTTATTGGTCATGTTGAAAGTCCTTGGCCACGAAACATGGGATTGCAGCAGCCTGCTTCATGGAGTTAGGGCAAGGTGGAGACATTTCTCAGATGTCTGTCACTTCTTAGAAGAGGGAACCACAGCTTCGTTCCTTTGTGCATGGTGTCAGGTGCCCACTCGACAAAGCGAGTACTGTCCTCTTCGGTTTGTACTTTCCTACTTTACAGTGTCAGGTACGTGGACAATAGAATGATTCTCACAAGCACCACCCACTGGGTCCCTTTCTGTGGCACCTCTCCCTGCGTTAGGGGCAGAGTGTGGCTTAGCAGAGGGCTGCTACAGCTTTGTTTCTATCCTGATTTGAGGTGGAACGTCAATCATGAGTAGTAGAGACCCATGATTTGCTGCCTCCCCAGATGCATTAGCAAGAAGCTAGAGGAGAAGCAAACCACTGAGGCTCAGACTGATACTCTGACATCGGATGCTGGCATTGCAGTGGCGGCTTAGCCTGCTGTTCCACAACGCTGGCCCTACCTGTCTTCGGATGGGACAGCCATTTATCAAAACACTGCTCAAACCCTCACCTGTCTCGCTCTCAGAGCTTCATGCCGACCTCATCAACGTGTAGAACAGCTTCTCATATATGATCAACACTTCCTAACTCCATGAATGTTATCAGTGCCTACACTGGTTGTTTTAAACAATCAAGTCATAGCTGACATATAGGGGTTATTTAATGGGAGTGTTAGTGGTACACAGGTGACACGGACAGCATCTCACAGACAGGCGACAATGCGGACGGGGTGAGGTTCTGCTGTGGAAGGTTTTATAGTTACAGTTGATGTTCACAGGAAGGAAAATGAAACTGTTACCCCCTGGAGAAGTGTCTCCTGGCAGAAATACTTACCAGAATAAGTAAGACTCTCCTAATTCCTGGTGAGCTTATCATTTTCTAAATTTCAAATCTGTTCATCTAAACCAGGGGTGAGGAACTTTTTTTTTTTCTGCCAAAGGCCATTTGGATATTTACAACATTGTCTGCAGGCCATATGGCATTAACAACTTAAAAATTAGCCTGCTGTATGTGGATTTATTGAATTTCATGTCCCACCTGCGGTTGCCTCAGCAGGGCCAGACCGCATCCCTGAGTGGTTCCATAGCCATGAAATGGAATGGGTCCTGGCTGTGAGCTTGCTGTCAGGGGCCAATGGGGAGCACCTGCTTGGCTGACCCGAGTGGCCCGTCCGCACGGCCACATCACGTGTGATTTACCGGCACAAGAGATTCCCAGTATCCACGGTGTCTCCCCAGCCAACCTGAGGTCGCCTTTCCCAACTTTGCTCTCATGTCTATAAAGATATACAAAGAATAACAACGCCACTAAAAGTTAGTGTTGAGGACCTGTAACTGCAGTGCAGATGCACCTGATGGAACCGAGCAGCAGCTGTCCACGTTTGCTTCCTGGGGGACACAGGGCAGCACCAGGCATGGAAAGCAGGCAGAAAGCACCAGTCCCCCCCGCCATGGCCTTCTCCTCCCTGAAGAATGCGGGCTTGCCCCGACCAGACATGGCAGACGCCAAACCTTTACTATATGAGTGCTAAGGAAGGGTCTTCTTTTCCATCTATACCAGCCGACTCAGAAAGTCAAGGAAACATCTCCAAGAAGGCTGAAGAACAATTCCCACTCAGCGCTGTCAAGACACATCAACTGGAAATGTGTGAGACTGTGTCTTCCAGATGACAAGGAAAAGTTAAAATTTGATTTTGTAGAGAGGCAGAGAGATAGGGGGTAGGAGTGTGGGGGGGAGGGCGGGAGGGGGAGGGAGAGGGGGAAGAAGAAGGGGAGGGAGGGAGAGAGAGGGGCAAAGCATACTCCCGTCTGCTGTGTCACTCCCCAAATGCCTAGGAGCCGGGAACTCAATGCAGCCTCCCATATGGGTGGTAGGGACCTGAGTACTTGAGCCATCACCTGCTGCCTCCCCGTGAGTGTTAGCAAGAAGCTAGAACTGGGAGCCAAGCTGGAACTCATTGAACACACCCCTGTCTTTCAGTTTAGGCCTTAAAGGTCAGAGAGAGCAGTCCAAGGCAGCCCTCAACCTGTGTCTGTGGCCAAGTATCAGGCAGAAAAAGATGAGGGTCTGACAAACATGGCAGGATAGAGAAAAGGAGAACCACACAGCTTTTTGTGAAAAAGGACACAGCTGGAAACTCGCAACTTGAGATGGAAAAAGGTGTGTGAGGGGGTTTCCAGGGAACCAAGATGGAAAATTAGATAAATCTGATTCAGGGAAAGTACGGGAAACTGGGGAGGTTCTCCCCAGGGCGGAGGGAGGCGACAGCGAGGTACAACCGTGGTACAACGGCAGAAGACAGGTCTTCTCCACACGGGAGAACAGCAGGCTTCTTGTGGGAAAACCAGAGAGGGCACCATGACCAACAGCACAGAGGCTGGGGCTCTGCATAGAAAAAAGATGAGAACGCGCAGGCTTCAAAAGTCTTCCCTGTTCTAAGAGATTAATAAAACAGTTATGCATATTATAATACATTCTCTGAGTTATAAGGAAAAAGAAAAATCACAATAATTCAGTAGAAAGGAAATAAGTTTTGACAAAGAGTCAAAATGTAGGATGATCTAAAATTTTTCCTATGTAATATGTCTACTGTTGGGTATTATTTCAATTTTTTACTTCCTTGATAATGAGAATCTATTTTTATTTTTATTAACATAAAGAGAACAGATTTCATGTATTTCACAGGTACAGTCTAAGAAGATAACCATACTTCTTATTTAATGCATATCTTCTACTTAAATATACCCTATATTGCTTTAAGAAGGCAACTAGGGGCCGGCACTGTGGCATAGCGGGTAAACCCACTGCCTGTGGTGC